CTTCTTTCTCCTTGTTATTTCTTTAATTGAAATCTTGAGAGCATTCCACCCCAAAGCAGCAGAATATACATTCTTTCCATGTGCACATGAAACATGAAACATTTTCTAGGATAGACCACACGTTAGTACACAAAGCAAAACTCAATAAGTTTAAGAAGATTGAAATCATATTGAGCACCTTCTCTGACTATAATGTTACGAAATTATAAGTCAACCACAAGAAGAAAAACAAAAACAAAAACAGTGCAACACACAAAGTCAGTGAGGCTAAGGAACATGTTACTGAACAATGAATGGGTTATCAGACAGACCAAGGAAGAAATCAAAGTTAAAACAAATGAAAATGAGAACACAACAACCCAAATCTATGGGACACAGAACAAGCAGTTATAAGAGAGAAATCCAAACCAGCACAAGCCCACCTCAGGCAACAGGAACAAGGATACCAATCTAACTCTACACCTAAAGGAATGGGGTAAAAAACCTGGAGTGAGTACAAGGAAGGAAATAATAAAGACTATAGAGGAAATAAACAAAACACAGTCTAAGGAAATTAATGAAACCAAGAGTTGGTTCTTTAAAAACATAGACTAGATTGACAAACTTTTAAACAGGCTCGTCAAAAAATAAAGAGAGATGACACAAATAAATAAAATGAAAAATAAAAGTGAAGTAACAACTAACACCATAGAAATAGAAAGGGTTATAATAAACTATTATGAACATCCATATATCAAAGTATTGGAAAACATGGGTGAAAATGCTAAATTTCTAGGAACATATATCCTTTCAAAACTGAATCAGAAACAATAAGAAAATCTAAATAGGCCAAATTGACCTAATGAAATCAAAGCAAGAATTAAAAAACTCCCAGCAAACAAAAGTCCTGCACCAGATGACTTCACAGGTGAATCTCACCAGACATTCAAAAAAGCACTAACACCAATGTTTCTCAAAATATTCCCAAAATTCAAGAAGAAAATCTCCCAGGCTGCCTCCCACTGTCCACATCCTCCCTAGATCTATCAGAGTCCCTGAACTCCATGGCCAGAGCCCTGCTGACTATCCCCAGCTGTTCCCACAGCGTCAAGGGCAGGTCAGGCCCTGTAAAAGCCACCTGCCCCTCTTCATCCACCAGCACCTCTCTCACAGGTGCATGCAGCTGTGGACACCCCAGGACAGGTCACAGACAGGAGACCTGAAGCTGAGCCAGGACATGGTGACAGCGGTCCCAAGGGTCACATGCAGGCATCAGATTTCCAATAACAATTTTTTTTCATAACCTAATCTTCATTATTCCTCAATCATTACCCACATCTAACCCTTAAGCACACCTGGTCATGAGGGAGATTCTTCTATATCCCAATGTGTGAAACTGGATCTACAACAGAGTCTAGAGAATAAACACCACAAAGGAAGCAGTGCAGGTGCTACACATCCAGCACCAAACTCCTCTGAAGGAATAGGACCTGGGAGCTATGTCTCTATACTTCATGCTTCTGGTTCCCAGGGACCCACACAGACACTCTACTCTCCCCCAACACTTGATCCACTGGCTCTAGGCTCACACTCTTGTCTTGGTTTATCCTCTGATCACTTTGTAGGGTAAATAGTATCGAATGGAACTTCCCATCTCCTGAACATGAACCTGCTGCACTTTTAGTTATCATATTTGAAGGTTAATTTCTCTTTCTTTTCATTACTGGTGACTGTCTAAGGAATCCATCATTTTTAATCCTTCTCTTTTTTTGGGCAGGTGAGCTGGAGTAACTGGTCCCCATGTGGAGAACATAGGCCAGATGCCGGGAATTATTTAACATACATGCATCCTTGGACATGTCACATTCTGATATGGTGTCATTTGTACCAGCATCCAACCCCAGAGCTTCCTATATAGTAGGAGTACATGCAAATGGGAACCACTCTGCTCATAAAAGCCAGCCCAGCCCTGACCCTGCAGCTTTGGCACAGGAGCCCAGCCCCGGTATCCCCAGGTGCTCCCATTCCCTGATCAGGACTGAACACAGACCACTCACCATGGGGTTTTGGCTCAGCTGGGTTTTTGTTGTGGCTCTTTTAAGAGGTAATTTATGAAGAAAAAGAAAGACTGAGTATGTGAGTGGATGTGAATGAGAGAAACAGTGGAGGTGTGAGAGTTTCCTGACCAAGATGTCTTTGTGTTTGCAGGTGTCCGGTGTGAGGTGCAGTTGGTGGAGTCTGGGGGAGGCTTAGTGCTGCCTGGGGGTTCTCAGAGACTCTCCTGTGCAGCCTCTGGATTCACCTTCAGTAGCTCCTGGATGCACTGGGTCCGACAGGCTCCAGGGAAGGGGCTGGAGTGGTTATGTCAAATAAATCCTGATGGAAGTAGCACATACTATGCCAACTCTGTGAAGGGCCGATTCACCATTTCCAGAGACAACGCCAAGAACATGCTGCATCTGCAAATGAACAGCCTGAGAGCTGAGGAATCTGCCTTGTATTACTGTGCAAGACACACAGTGAGGGCAAGTTAGTGTGTGCCCAGACACAAACCTCCCTGCAGCAGAAGCTGTGACCACAAGGGGGAGCTCAGGGTCCCTGAACACAAGGACCATCCCAGCAGCAGGAGCAGTTGGAGGTTTGGGCTGGTTTCCTGTGTGGTTTCCCCTTCATGTCACAGTTCCCCTCAGGGAACCTCTGGATTCCTGACTCTGCACTAACCTCAGACATCTCTGAGTTAGAAAAGTCTGTTGTAAACAGAGACAACTTTCTCACGTGGAGAAACTCAAGAGTGTCTTTCTGAGACTCTTGAGCCCAAATGACAATTCATCATCAAATGTCTGACCTGCATCAGCTAAATCTAACCAGAGTCTCTCCTGACTCAACAGTGCATCTCAGCTCCACGCATCTCAGGGTACCACCAGCTAGAAACTGAACTCATGTGTTCTGGACAGTGGGCACCTGAAGCCTATGAATGCAAAGCTAGAGAAGAAAGACCCCTGTGGTGACAGTCATTGACTTGGCATCATGCTCATAGCATCAGGAGTAGGTGATACCAAGCAGAAGCAGGGGAATCCACAGCAGCTTGGTATGGATGACCAGGGTGATGAAAAACACACACACCAAGAGACATGGAATGTTTATTATGCACAGAGTTGAAATCTCTGAGAAGCACAGGAAAGGCCCTTCAGGAAATCAGACCTGCTTTGGTGGAGCCAGGAAAGGGGACTGACTGAGGAATTTTATTTTGTCAAGGTGGTGGAGCAGGAGGAGGAATCCTGCTTCCAGGGGCTTGTGTGAGTTCAACCTCTTATTGACATCTGGAGAGAAGACCCAACCTTTCTTTTCAGATTCCTATGTGGGGCAGGAAGGATCCATTAGTTTTCAACAATCGAATGAAAAAGAAAATAAAGTATGGCTACATATTTTATTCACAATTTAAAAAAATTGAGCAAACATTGAGACAAATGGTCATTATGTGTATAAAACAACAGCGTCTACTGTAACTAAAAATATAATTATAAATAGCCATATGATGATAATGGTGGCGGTGATGATGGTGATGGTACTGATGACCATAGAATTGGACAGGGTCCTGATCCATTGTCCTGGGAGGGATCTCTCCCCTGTCCAAAACCATAAGTTGTTTGGAAGGCCTTGTAACAACTCTTAGGTGTGGCAGTTGTGATTTTAATATCCAATGTCAAGTAACTCTCTGTCCATGAACATCAGGCATATTTCTGTCATGTGATTCAAAACAGTCCAGCTTCCTCCCCTCACCCAGTTCCACAATCATGTCCAGATTTATGGGTAGTTTCCCAGCAGCGCTCCCCTCTGGTACCAGAACCTGCTCCAGTACCTGTGGCTGCTGTTGCCAATCCACATGGACAGTGGAGGCTCAGGATTTTTCTGGGGACTTCTTTGTAAAATCACCCCAAACAGGTCGCATTAAAGACAATAATGATGAATTGAACGTTGATATAAGTAAAAGCAATTGTGCCACCAAATACTCCATCATGGACATTAAATAACTAGCTTAGCAGGAGAATATCTTTCTGAATAATGTGCCTGATAGGAGAATGTGTTCACTATACATCAAGGATATTGTATGTTATGGGGGATAGCCCGGCACCCTCTGACCACAGTGAGCATCCCTATAGATGGGTCACAGGGAGGCTGGGAATGAGGGTTTCCTGACAATGTTGAAATTCCTTTTCCTGTGAGAAAATGTATGCTAGGAGTTCTCCAGTTTCCCTCACTTAAACCCCAACATCACTGATAACACTAGACTGAGAAATCAGGTCACTTAACAGGCTGCCATATCATTTCAACATATAAAAGATTCTCAATTGTGCACATGCATAATCACTACTTTCATTTATTATCTCTTCTACAGGTTAAAACATGATTCTTTCTGATGTGATTAGTTTGGGATCTTTGCAATATTCCCTGTGCTTCCATAAGGAAAGAGTTTGCACAGTGTGATATAACACAATAAAAAGTTCCAACATCAAGGATCAAGGTTCTCCCTTTCTGGTGCTTGTGAAGCAGTTACTCATATCAAAGTAAAAAAATGAAGAAAACATGGCATTAAAGATGGCTGTTCTTTTTAAAAATATTTTCACACTAAAGTAAACATAATTAGAGTATAAAATGACAATCATATATGTAAGTGTTGGATTTCAAAAGCTAAACAAATGCTAAACCCTATTAAATTTGTTTGAAAGATTAATGAGAACTTACCAATGTAATGTATTCATCTAGTCCAACATTTCTTCCTATGCTCAGGTGAGGATGTCCTTGTCTGTTAATGACCCAAGTGGACAAAGTCCCTGACTTACATGGTGAGTGAGGTCAATGAAAGAGATGCCCCCACTTGGGCCCCAGAAAGGCCAGGGTAGTTTAGCCTCAAACCCCACACTTATAGGAAAGGGCTGCCCCACATGCAAATTTCTGTTCAAGCTCCAAGGTAAATCATCTTCTGGGCTGTGCAGGCTCACAGCTCTCTCTGCACACAGGGCTGAGGTCTCTGGGAAGATAGAGCTGTGGTCTAGAAGAAGATGAGACTGCTGGGTCTTCTCCTATGTCTGGTGTCAGCCCCCGAAGGTGAGGATCTCAAGGGTCAGACAGGGGTGATGGGGTGGCTGTGACTGCAGGTGACTGACAGGGACTGATGCTCCTTGTCCCCAGGTGTCCTGTCCCAGGTGCAGCTGCGAGAGTGGGGCCCAGGACTGGTGAAGCACTCACAGACCCTCTCCGTCACCTGCGCAGACCATGGAGTTTCCATCACAACCAGTGGTTACTGCTGGAATTGGATTCGCCAGCCTCCGGGGAAGGGGCTGGAGTGGATGGGGTGCATAGATTATGATGGGAACACTTACTACAGCCCCTCACTCAAGACCCGAACCTCCATCTCCAGAGACACATCCAAAAACCAGGTCTCCCTGCAACTAAGTTCTGTGACCATGGATGATACAGCTGTGTATTACTGTGTGAGAGACACAGTGAGGGGCAGTCAGTGTGAGCCCAGACACAAACCTCCCTGAGCCTATAGCGGGCCTGGGCTGCCAGGGGCGCTCCGGACACCAGGGGGCGCTCAGGACCCACCAGCACAGTAAGCAGCCCCAGGAATAGGGGAAAAGGGAGTTGGGGAGGGAAGGGCCTTCCTGTTGGGCTGAGGGATTTCCTCTCAATGTCTCAGCTGCCTCCAGGGAAGATTCTTCCTTCTCATATTCTCACTGCAGACAACAAGGAAGAAGAGACATTGTTTGCAGGTGAAATGTTGGCAGTGACATGGGCTTTTTCATGAAGTCTCCTTCACAGATTCTAAAATTGACTTTTTTCACAGCCTTTTCAATGTTTCGCTGAGTGTAAATTCTGCAGGTGGGCTGCTGGGATTGGGCTGTGTGCTCAGTTCTGCATCCATCCCTCCTGGGTCACAGCTACCCTCAGTCTCTGACTCTCCATGTGCCCTACCCTCCTAGTTCCAGGGCACTCCCACTGCTGAAAGCCCTGAGCACACTCAGGGCTGGGGGACCTCAACCTCCCTCTCTGGGTCCACATTGATAAGCACAGGGAACCCCCACATCTGTCCACATGAGGGACCCCTGCTGTCCTGCAGGAAGCAGTGCTAACCCCACAGTGGGGACAGATGACCCTGAGGGTTGGGATGTGCATTATAGAACTCCTCCCTCCAGCTTTCCTCCCGATCCAAGGTTTTCTAGCTTCCCTGTGGGTCAGATGTCCATCGGGAGCATGTTGGAAGCCTAGGAGCATCCATGGGACCCCCAGTGTCCACACTGTCCTCTTACTATTTACTGAGGAAAGAGAGTCACATAGACACACACAATCATGCACAGAGTCACACATGCACACAGTTGCACACTCATTTATGGAAAATACATGCATTCACACATGAGCAGTGATACAAAACTGTTCATGTAGTTACACACTGTACTTTATGAATTCTATATACAAAAACATAGTTATGTTTCATTCTCTTGGATGTCATATGAAATATGTGGTCTGCAGGCAACTATTATTTCAACAATGACCATGCCCTGTGAAGATCAACAGTTGTATTTTTCAGTCCATTTAGTAGGAGCTCAAATTAGGGGTTGGATCTCAACTTTGCTAGATTGCTACAAAATTTTAAAAAAATGATTATTGAAATAAAAGCCAAGGACCCAATGGATTCAAGGGTGAATTCTACCAGAATTTCAAATAAGAATTAATATATTTTAGTCAACTCTTGAACTCTACCAAGAATTAAAAGAAGAGGCAACATTTCCAAACAGATTTATTGAGGTGACCTTTACACTCATATCAAAGCCAAGTAAAAACATACAAAATGACAGGTCAGTATCCCTGATGAACATACATGCAAAAACCCTCAACAATATACTAGCAAACTTAACAGCACATTGAAAGGACCATTTAACATGATCAAGTGAGATAGAATCCTAGCATGCAAGGATGGTTCAACATATGTAAACCATTAACTATGATACATCTCATCCACAGAATGCAGGGTAAAGTATACCATCATATAAATAGATACAGAATAAAGTCTTTAAAATTGAAAATCCCATAAAAATTATAATTTTTAACAGATAGTTGTAGAATTGATAGGCCTCAATATACTAAAGGCTACATTTGAGATCACAAGTGACATCATGCTACACAGAGAAAATTTCAAAGCTTTTATTCTTACATTGGGACCAAGGCAAAGGCTCCCCTGTAACTATCTCTATATGTCAAAACTAGAAGTCCTTTTCAAAATAATTAGACAAGAAAAAAGAAATTTTAAATGTTTAAATGTTATCTGTATGTAAATGACGTGATTTTGTACATAGAAAACCCTAATAACTGTATGAGAAGCTATTATAACTAATATTCACGAAATATGTAAGATACAAAACCAACACACAGATGACTTTTGCTCCTGCTCACTCCCAACAAAGTGTCTTCAATATGTGGGCTGTTTCTGAGGAAAGGGAGGGAAGAAAACTTGAACTGGCTAAACAACAATGAGATGACAACCAAACGAAACAAGATCCCTGGACGTGTCTTGGTTAGTTCTCCCATCATGTTCCTGGGTTGCTTACCCCCAATGTGGCACTGAATCACGTACAGGTTCCATTTGACCCCCATAATGTGGGGACATGGTGATAGGGTTCCCAAGGGTCACTTGCAAACATCTGTGTTAGGGTTTGGCTAGTGACTCATGCTGTGCAAGAATTCACAACTAAATGGAGAGATACAGAAAGGAATAGTGTTTCACATTCCAGAAAAAGGAAACAGCTGGTGTATCACTAGTCAATACAGGGCAGGAACAAAATGCAGCCTTTACCTTAAAGAGTAATGTCTGCTGTTGCTAGGTGACAGGAAAGGGAGAAGGATTGAGGGCTGAAGTTGAGACAGTTTATTTGCTTTCAAGGCAGCAGTCTGGCAGATGTCCTAGGGAGGTGTCTCATCTGCATTTATCCCAACCTTGTAAAACATGCTTAGAGCAAAAGGTAGAGGATTCACAAAGAGGCTTTTTGAATTGGAGGGGTGAAGGGAACTTTCTATTAACTAGAGACTCATTGGTGCGATTTATCCCAGAGATCTGAAAATAGCAGGGAGAACGGAGATGCAAGAATGCTGCCTTGAGAATAGCTTATCCTCACCCACAGTTTGAACAGAGGAGCTGTCTGCATCAGAGGAGCTAACAGTTTTGAGGTTTAATTATCTGGTGCTTCTCATAAATTATGGTGGCCACAGCAAAGAAAAAGAAAGGGCCTTTTCCATTCATTACAATCAGGTTACCAATCACGACATTCTCGTGTCCAAAACTTAATTATTTCTAAATCATTACTGACATTTTCATCTAGACCAGTGGTTCTCAACCTGTGGTTCTCAACCCCTTTTGGGGTCAAACGACCCTTTCACAGGGGTCGCCTAAGACCATGCGAAAATGCATATATAATTACATATTGTTTTGCGATTAATCACTATGCTTTAATTATGTTCAATTTGTAACAATGAAAATACATCCTGCATATCAGGTATTTACATTATGATTCATAACAGTAGCAAAATTACAGTTATGAAGTAGCAAAAAAAAATAATTTTATGGTTGGGGGTCACCACAATATGAGGAACTGTATTAAAGGGTAGCGGCATTAGAAAGGTTGAGAACCACTGATCGAGACAGATCTGGTTATGATGGACATTCCTCTATATCCCAATGTATGAAACTGGATCTACAACAGGCTCTAGATTTACTACCAAGGCCAAGGACACACAGGTCCAGGGTTCCTGTTTCCTTAGGTTGTCATTTCATTGTTGTTTAGCCAGTTCATGTTTTCTTACAACACATTCAACACCAGCCTCACCTGGTGCCTCACTCACTGTGTCCTCACCCACTTTGATCTCACCATGTTGTCAGCCTCTGTGGCCTCATTCACTATGTCCTCACCCACTATGTCCTCACACAGAGATCTCACCGTGTCCTCACCCACTGTTTTCTCAACAAATGTGTCCTCAAACACTGTGCACTTACCCACTGTGGCCTCACCTACTGTGTCCTCACCCACTGTGGCAACAACCACTTTGTCCTCAACCACTGTGACCTCACCCACTGTGATCTCACCGTGTCCTCACGGCACTGTTTCCTCACCCACTGTGTCCTCACACACTGTGATCTCACCATGTCCTCACCCACTGTGTCCTAACCCACTGTGTCCTCAGCCACTGTGATCTCTTTGTCCTCAAGCACTGTGTCATCACCAACTGTGTCCTCACCCACTGGGTCCTCACCCACTGTGATCTCACTGTGTCCTCACCCACTGTGGCCTCACCCACTGTGTCATCACCCACTGTGACCTCACCTACTGTGGCCTCACACACTGTGTCCTCACCAACTGTGGCCTCAACCACTGTGATCTCACCCACTGTGACTTCACACACTGTGGCCTCACCCACTGTACCCTGACCCACTGTGTCCTAACACACTGGTGCCTCACCCACTGTGTCCTCACCCACAGTGATCTCACCTTGTCCTCACCCACTGTGTCCTCATCCACTATGTCCTCACCCACTGTGAACTCACCGTGTCTTCACCCACTGTGACCTAACCCACTTTATCACCAATTGTGGCCTCCCCCACTGTGACCTCACCCACTGGTGTCACCCACTGGTGCCACACCCACGGTGTCCTCACACACTGTGATCTCACCGTGTTCTCACCCACTGTGTCTTCACCCACTGTCTCCATAGCCACTGTGACAACCTTCTGTGCCCTCACCATGTCCTCATACTCTATGTCCTCACCCACGGTGTCCTCACACACTGTGATCTCACCGTGTCCTCACCCACTGTGTCTTCACCCACTGTCTCCATAGCCACTGTGACCTAACCTTCTGTGCCCTCACCATGTCCTCATACTCTATGTCCTCACCCACAGTGTCCTCACACACTGTGATCTCACCGTGTTTTCACCCATGTCCTCACCCACTGTGACCTCACGTACTGTGGCCTCACCCACTGTGTCCTCACCCAATGTGTCCTCACCGACTGTGACGTCACACACTGTGGCCTCACCCACTGTGCCCTCACCCACTGGGTTCTCACCCACTGTGTCAACAACTGTGATCTCACCATGTCCTCACCCACTTTGACCTCACCCGCTGTGGCCTCACCCACTGTGCCCTCACCGACTGTGTCCTCACCCACTGGGTCCTCACCCACTGGGTCCTCCCCCACTGTGATCTCACCGTGTCCTCACCAAATGTTTCCTCACCCACTGGTGCCTCACCAAGTGTGTTCTCACTCACAGTGATCTAACCATGTCCTCACCCACTGCGACCTCACCCACTGTGGACTAACCCACTGTGTCCTCAACCACGGTGTCCTCAACCACGGTGTCCTCACCCACTATGTCCTCACCCACTGGTGACTCACCCACTGTGTCCTCACCCAGAGTGATCTCACCGTATCCACACGCACTGTGACCTCATCCACTTTCTCACCCACTGTCCACACCCACTATGTCCTCACCCACTGTGACCTCAAGCACTGTCTTCACCCACTGTGACCTCACCCACTGTGTCCTCACACACTGTGGCCTCACCCACTCTGCCCTCATCCACTGTGTCCACACCTACTGGTGCCTCACTCACTGTGTCCTCATTCACAATGATCTCACTGTGTCCTCACCCACTGTGTCCTCACCCACTGTGTCCTCACCCACTATGTCCACACCCACTGTGACCTCACCTTCTGTGGCCTCACCCACTGTGTCCTCACACACTATGTCCTCACCCACTGTGTACACACCCACTGTGACCTCACCCACTGTGGCCTCACGCACTGTTTCCTCACCCAGTGTCCTCACAGACAATGTCCTCACCCACTGTGTTCACATCCCTGTGACCTCACCCACTGTGTCCTCACCCACAGTGATCTCAGCGTGTCCTCAGCCACTGTTGCCCAACGCACTGTGTCCTCACCCACTATGTCTTCACAGACTTTGACCTCACCCACCGTGGGCTCACCCACTGTTACCTCACTCACAGTGGCCTCACCCACTGTGTCCTCATCCACTGGTGACTCACCTACTGTGGCCTTACCCACTGTGGCCTCAGCTGGCGGGACCCTGGGTCATCCTCTTTTTCTCAGTTTACTACCTGGTCCCCACGCACACTTAATCCAGCCCGTTGTCTCCCGAATGGGCCGGGAGTTCTGGCCTCTCACAGTTCCCTCCAGTTGTGTCTCTGGAGCCCTGGTTAAGCCTGAGAGGAAGACAGCTCCACTCTTGGCCAGGAAGGAGGCATAAAGGAGCCGGAGGCGGTCCTCTCACTGAGAATTCATCAGAGGGAAGGAAGCAGAGATCTCTGCTCAGTCACCCACTCTTAAGGGTCCCTGTAGACCTCAAGGCCCCCCAGAGGCCTGGATAATTTAGACAACCTCTATTTTTTTAAAAAGCAATCCTGTTTCTTTTTAAAATTTTTATTTATTGAATATCTTTTTTTTTGAGAGAGAGAGAGATAGGAAATGAGAGGGAGAGAAACATTGATTTGTTGTTCTATTTATTATGCATTCATTGGTTGATACTTGTATGTGCTCTGACTGGGGATCGAACCTGCAACCTTGCTGTATCAGGATGATGCTGTAACCAGCTGAAATGACCAGCCAGTACCAATTCTATTTTTTTAAAATATATTTTGATTGATTTCAGAGAGGAAGGGAGAGGGAGCGAGAGATAGAAACATCATCAGAGAGAATCATTGTTCCACTGCTACCTTTACACTCCCTACTGATGATCAGGCCCACAACCTGTGCAAGTGCACTTGACCGGAATCACACCCGGAACCCTTCAGTCCACAGGCCAATGCTCTAGCCACTGAGGCAAACTGGCCAGGGCTCAGACCACCTCTTGCTTGTCTCCAGCCACTTGGGTTTACCCCTCAGCAGAGAGACGCCAGGAACACTGAGCTCAGCATGGCGATGTGGAGGGCTGGCTCAGCAGCCTACCTGGCTAGTGTCACCTGGGGGAGGGAGATCTGTGCAATCTCCTGGTCTGAGGCCCTGTAGCACTTGTTGTAGAACTAGTTCATTCAGGAAAGCATGGCTTGTCTCTAGAAGGATGATTGACAGTGGATCAACAGGCCAATTTCCAAATTTAGACCAGGATGAGCCTCCAAAGACGTAATAAGCAAAATACATGTTAGGTGGCATGCATGTCATTGGCAACGTGTCATAAGTGACATGCCCGTCTGTGCTGCATGCATATCATAGCTGACATACATGTCATAAATGATGGGCATGCCCTAAGTTGGAAATGACATATATGTCATGGTATGTTTTAGCATGTTACAAACAATTCTCTAGGAGCAAATTGTTCCTGGCTTAGCGGGACCACACATAAGCAATCTTGTTAGGTTAGCGTGTGTTAGACACAGAGGCTGCCTGTGTTGCTCTGCCTTGAAGATGCTCACTGTGCGAGCTGCCAGAGGACAGGGTCCTGTTTCCGCCTCTTTCTAGGAGGGAAAGGGTGGCTCTCAGCATCCGTGGGAATTACCAAGCCCACCGTCCAATGTACTCACTGAGGTGCCTCTCCACCTGAAGTGCATGAAGGCTCTTAATGTCCATCATCATCGCTGGTACTCGGCCTTTCTTCTTTTTGTTTCTCCTTCTTCTTCTTCTTCTTCTTCTTCTTCTTCTTCTTCTTCTTCTTCTTCTTCTTCTTCTTCTTCTTCTTCTTCTTCTTCTTCCTCTTTTTCCTCTTCTTCTTTTTGATCCTGGGTTATCCAGGAGGACATTCATCACGACCTTCCCTAGAGGAGGTGGTAGGCAGAGCGACATGGAACCCAGCAAGGATTCTTCCAGCCCACCCTCTCCTGCCTCATCACATGTTGACATTCCAGTTTCATGGAAGGTCTGATTGGGAAGAAGAACAAAAAGAATCTTTCAGTCTCAAAATAAAAGTATCATTCCAAGGCATATCTTATTCCCAGACCCCAGAAAGGCAACATGGGCCAAGGCAGGTAAAGGAGAGCAAGAGGAAACCCTGTCCACCTGCATCTGGGGGCAGCACCCCTGGGTCCTCATCAAACCCCAAGGATGGAGGACTCTCAAACCCAAGGGTGACCGGGTCTCAGGAAAGGAGGGAAGGAGGGAGGGTGGGTCAGAACGGGATCCCTTGTGGCCAGCATTTTTGAGTCCTTTCCATCTGAGGTCACCACTAGGATGACAAGGTCAGGCATGCTGCCCAGGGTCCCAACTGCACCTTTATATCCAGACCCCATGCAAATGGGGCTCTCCTCCTCCTTATAAAAGAGGGCCTTGACCCACATGCTGGGGAGACACCCCGAACCCAAGTACCTGAGACAGGACCCCAGGGGCTCGACCATGGATTTGGTGCCAAGCTGTGTTTTCCTCCTGATCATTTTTCAAGGTCATTCTCAGGAGAGGGGAGCACTGAGACCTGTGCCTGTGCCCGTCTTTGCTTCCATGTGATTCTAAGTCCACCTCATGTCCCTGTGTTTGCAGGTGTCCAGTGTGAGGTGCAGCTGGTGGAGTCTGGGGGAACCTTGGTGCCACCTGGGGGGTCTCTGAGACTCTCCTGTGCAGCCTCTGGATTCACCTTCAGTGACCGCAGTATGCACTGGGTCTGCTGGGCTCCAGGGAAGGGGCTGGAGTGATTTGGTGAAATTAATCCTGATGGAAGTGTTATGGGTTCACTCAGAGCGATAGACCACCAACTCAGAATTTAAATTTAAGAGCCTTTATTAAGATGGCCAGCTGACTACAGTTACAGCACCCTGCTGAAGCAAAGCCTGAACTGCAGCGCCGACTTCCATGTCCAGCGACTATAGTTACAGCACCCTGCTGAAGCAGAGGCTGAACTGCATCGCAGACTACAGAAGTTACAGCGTTTTTATTTGCAAAAACCACAAAGTTACAAAACCTTAGTTCACGACACAGTACAGCATCATTACAGTGACTACTTTCCTAACTGTATTCTAGGAACAGAGAGTACAGCATGCTGGGAAGGGGCCATGAGGCCATATCTCAAGGCCTGGCCTGATGTCAGTACCTTCCTATCTGTGTTTTAGGAATAGACAGCACAGCATGACCCGTCTGGCCGAAGTGCCAGATATGCAGCCTAGCACAGAACTACCACAAACTATGCCAGTGCTGTGAAGGGCCGATTCACCATCTCCAGGGACAATGCCAAGAACATGCTGTATCTACAAATGAACAGCCTGAGAGCCATGGACACGGCCGTGTATTACTGTGCAAGATATACAGTGAGGGGAAGTCAGTGTGAGCCCAGACACAAACCTCTGTGAGGGAGGCAACAGGGCTGGGCTGCAGGGGGCGTGCAGGACACCGGGGTCGGGGGAGGGAGCTAAAGACCAGCACAGCCCCCAGACCAGGATCAGGTGGAGAGTTAAGCAAAGACACAATTTCCTGCTCTGCCTTAAATTAACTTTGCTCCCAGGCTCAGCCACAGAGCTCACAGAAAGCCCTTTCCTATGTCTAGGTTTAGGGATTGTATTTGTGAATAAAAAAGGGGGTCTCTGTCGTAAATCTGACAAAATTCAGTGACTGAAGGGAAACTCTGATCTCAAATTCCTAACTGGTTGAGGTTTAACAAGACAAATTAAATAAATAAAGGAACCTTATTTTAATAAAACAAGAAAGGAAGGGCATGGTAGGAGGAAACCCTGTCTTACTACTGTTAACGTAAAAAACACATTAAAATCTGTAAAGAATTTTTGTGAGCGTATTTCAGCCAAACTGTGGACTAATGTCAGGATGCAGAACCTCAACAAACTGAGGTAATGCTCCTGAGAATGGCGGGTTTTCCTCTATTTTTATACATTGCAATCCAAGGAGGGACGTAGGTGGGTTACTGGAAATCCACTGGTGGTAGACTAGAGAGGCGGGAGAAAGCAAAGCCAGGAGACCTCTGGGATTGGATAAAAAGGAAAATGAGACATATGCTTAGGTGAGTGCAGGAACAGTTAACATGATACTAATAAAGGAATTTGTGGTCTCTGTCCTGGGGCCCAGGCACATTAGGCTGTGCCCCAAGGGGTCTGGAGAAAGGGAAGTTACAAGTTACCCAGACATTGCAAGGGTATGTTATCATAGATGCAAAAAGACGGATAGGCTTAGTTAAGGTCAAGGTTGACCTTGTCAGTGAAGATACCGACCTAGGATGTAACTGCCCACCATAACTGCTTTTAGTTCAAGTTTAATTTCAGACCATCCTTTGCAGTTACTTTAGGTCTCAAAGTTTGCAGGACCACTATGCAGGCCTTCCCTGAGCTGACAGGTTAGCATGTGGCCCCTTTCGTCCACAGTTCTAAGCCCAGGGAGAACCATGTGCATGTTCCACTAGGAAGGATGATGGAGCTCAGACACATTTCAGTTCTTGAATAAAGAATTCACAGCAGCCTCACATGGTGGGTGTCACCATGGTGTGAAGCCTTTTGCTGAAAAAGCACGTTGGTTTCTGGTGGGTCTACACCTGTGTCAGGACTCCTGATCATATGTTATTGACACGGAATTCTTGACTGGAAC